TTTCTTATTTTAAGAGGAAAATCCTCTAATTAGTAATATTGATAAGAATATATACTGATTAGAATATAAAAAGCCTCTATAGAAAAACATATATATCTCACTATCGAAAAAGACTATATTCTTAAATAAAGAATATATTCTTAATTTCAGAAGAATATCATCTAAAATCTTTAACAAGATTTTTTAAGTATAAAATCTTCTACTTACGAGAATATAATTTTTTTCGGTGAAGGTTTCGATTCCAATCACTTGGTTAAAAACAAAAATTCAAGAACAAAAGTTTAAGAATTTTTTTTTGTTACGTTTAAAACAATTAAAATATTACTTCAAGCAGTAGCGAAAAGCGTGATAACATCGACTTTTCCCAAAGGAAACATCGCGTCATAACGCGATGTTGTCCTACGAAACTGCACCTATTCTTGTTTTTCCTCTCACGGGAGGACGCGGAGGCAAGAACCACCGTGAGACAAAGCGAGCCTTATCTCGGTCTGGGCGTGTTCTAACCTTAGGAAAGACAAGATCGATGCGGCGGATACGGGCAAGGATCGAGAAATATCGGTTCGAGATCGCGTTCGAAAGCGCGTGGGCTGATTTCCTAAGCTCTTTTCGGGTTCGCCGAACGTGGTAGAGACCGGCTTAGTGTCTCTCTCAAATCGATCATCTACGAGCGATTACGAGCTGGTACAGAGCACGGGCACGCGCTAGAAAATCGCGCAAAGTTTGCGAAGAATGCGCGATCGAGGCCCGATGAGCGGCGCGCGCGCATTGCTCGATCCGCTTGGCGCACGATGATGAGATGCCGAGAAGATAACCACCCCGAGAGCCAAATTCCACTGCCGTTCGGAGCGAGAGTGGCATCACTTTTGTACCGACGTATCTTATCGTCGATTTGACCGATCGATAGGAGCGTATCTACACGTAACATTCTGCCGTGTGTGTTTACATTAGCGGTGAGTCAATTAGCTAATGTCTTTGTTGAAATAAAAAATAAAAAAAAAAAAAAAAAAAAACGCTCGTGTGTGTTTTTTCTCGAAACGACGTCAACGACGTCGAGTTCCAAATGATGATTAAAAACCGCGGAGGATGAAATATAAACAACGATGCAAAATGCTCTTTTGGCGTAAGTGCCGCGCAAATGCCCGGAAGTCGTCGTTTTTCTCTCAAAGCGTCGAAGAGAATTGTCGCTTCCTGTATTCGCAATTTATTGGTCGGCGATTTATGCCAGAAGGAGAGGCAGGACGGAAAATGCGCGACGTCGCGCAAACTATTCCGCGTGACGTACAGGTGCGCGTTACTTTGCGAAGCTTTCTATCTACCGATATAATCCCCCGGGGGACGCAGGAAGACATCATTGCGGAGAAACGAACGTTTAAATTGAGTCCGAGTAAAAGAGCAGCAAAACGCTTCCTTCATGCTTGTGCGTGAAAGCAGAAAGCGCCGCATTCCCGTTGATAAACAATTGCTCGTTACAGCCATCGGCGCGATTGTCTCAAATCGCGTTTTGAGATCGAACGAGAAATCGCGTAACGCGTATTACGTGATTTGGCTCAAAATGAACAAATAATGCAGAGAAATTCGAACGGTATAAAACGTGTCAATAGAGACGAAAGAGAGAAGAAAGAGGGGAAGAAGAATATAAAGAAGTTTTTTTTTTTTTTTTTTTTTTTCTCATACCTTTTGATTGGCGGAGTTAATAGCTTCCAAGGCCTTCAGCTTCTCGATTTCATCCGCCGATTCTTTTTCGGATGTAGACGGTTTTTTGGTAGGCGTCGGTTCCACCAGAGTGAATCCCAAATCCACATCCTGCTTCCACAGAACCTCGATGAGATCCATATCCTGGATGTTAAAAATACAGAAACGGTAGTGTTTATTACTGATATTGTAAAAAAAAAAAACAAACAAACAAACAAACATTAATCGCGAACAATTAATTTAATTTTCCTCTCAATACGCGAGACGCAGCGACGATAATTACTTGTTGTTTCGCTACATTGTAGTTAAGAGAGAAAGAGAGTAATGATCTTTTCAAATAAAGTGTGCGCACACATACATTGTGAGATTCTTTTTTTTGTTTTTTTTTTTTTTTCTTATCTATTTACACGCCTGAAGAAGCGGAATGTATGCGGGTTTCGTTTTAAATGCAAATTAAATGTTTACGCGGAGAATATACGGGCGAAGTTTCTCTCTCGTCTTATCCTCACCCCCGAATTAACATTCGCAGAAATAAGTAGGACTTATATCGCTTTTATATAGCTGTTTCCGCGTGTGTGTTTTATTTGATTATAAAAATGACAAAAGTAATTTTAAATGCTCGGACCAGGTGTCAACTCTTGATTAAAACAAAGGCAGATGACGGCGCTCGAAGGAAAATAAAGTGTCCGCGGCGCACACAGACAGACATCGCAGAGAGAGAGAGAGAGAGAGAGAGAGAGAGACTGTATAAAAGTAAAATCAATTTCATTGGATTAGCATACGTACATACATACCAGGACTCATTGAATTTTACGATGCCGTCTTTGCGACCGGTAATGAAAACGAAATTTTTTCTCGAAGCAATCATAATATTGTTACCCCCTACCACCTCCCCCCCCCCGTTTAAAAAGTCGTACGATTAATATTCCGATACTCCGGACGACGGAATAATGCCCGCGTGCGCACACGCGGCTTTCGTTTATGTTTATTTTATGTAAGTTAATAACATCTGGCCTCGATCGCCATTCCACACCGGGGCCCCCGTAGTCTTTCGGACTCTTCTCGAGTTTCATTTTTGTTGCGTCTCGGAGTGTCCCTCGCAGGGAGTCCCATCGACGAGTGTGTACAAAAGTGCATGATTAATGATGGCCGAGTATCGATGCATCTCGAAATGAAGGAGATCGAAGAAAGGGACCTGGGAGAAGGGACCAATCACATGACGGGGCACAATCCTCGGGGCAGCTGCCCCGTGGGTTTTAATCGAGCCAATTTCGCCGAGTTCGTACTGAGCCTCGTTAACCAATCTACGGATTTTCCTCGCCAATCTAAAACTCTCCCCCCTCCGGCGCTCGCGACGCCGTGCCTGGTCGAATGATTAACATGTTCGGAGCGAGGCCAACTTACGTGTCTCAACTTGCATAATTACCGTGAGAAAATTGTTGTCTTAAATTTGGTTGTCTTGAAAAACAACCAAAAAAAAAAAAAAACAACAACAAAAAAACCATCATTGTGATACGTGTAACAATGGCGTAAAGTCCGTTGTGAGACGGACGTTGATCTTTTTTCCGAAACAATTTTTTATATTATCAATGTTATTAAATCAATTTATTATAATATTTTATAAATTGAGTTGTCTCTTTCGTTTCCACAATATATGAAAATAGTGTTTTTGTTACACTTACTGCAACAATTGTTTTTTTTTTATTGAATTGTTGCATCCGTCAAGAAGCGGAAAATTGTGTAACAATTTATACAAAAAATTGCACTTTTTATCAATCAAAATCAGCCGTTGCTGTAATTGTTGCCCGTTTCTTCGTCGCGTTTCCCCGTTTACCGATAAACGCGCGCCGGACCGTAACGCGCTCGAGCCGCCATGTTTGCGGATTGAACGTCTATGTAGCGGGACACACGTGAGTTCTACCGCGTCTTCGAACCAAACGGTATGGACGCGGACTTTCCGCGGAACTTCCGCGTCAATTATATGTAGTTCGCGCGAATGCGTGTTTGGGGCGCAACGGCCATTTTATTGCTCTTCGCAGCTATTTTCCATTGTGTTTCGAGCGCTCGTTACGACGCTCTCACGTGGACGGCACCGATACTTGAAACTGTAGCAATAGTTTTCGCTTCGTCAGCGGCGCGCACGTAGGTTAAACGACTTGATTCTTGTCGAAGCGAGAGACAGGAATACCTCGCTGTATTCATACATCGTAAGTTGCGACGTTCGCGAAGAGGAAGAAAACCCGGACTTAAAAACGTTTAGAAGAAGAGACACGGGGGACGCGAGAACGTCTCTTCGCGTAATGTCTGAATAGACAATTGAATCAGGAAGCGATTAGATTTGATTCCGTCGCCATTGTACAAGCGCAGCAACTCCGATCTGTTTAGTGCCCCCCCCCCTTCGGAATAGTCCCTTCATTATTCAGAGAATCATTTTTCCCATTTCCTTTCACTGAGAAGTCTCTCGACAAACAGAGAGAGAGAAAGAGAGCTTACATGTCTCGAAAAGACCGGGACATTTCAAAGAAGAGTTATTACAAAAATATCTTACAATGCACCCTTTGATAACGGCCGATAGGATACTTTTCAGCTGTCGTAAATATAAAAAAATTTGCGTCAGTTTGACAAAAATTGTAGTAGCGAAACAATTTCTAATTCTAGTTTTCGGTACGTGTAAATAAATTTTATCCACAAATCTCGCACACGCTTACGATAATCTGCGTAATATAAATATTAATTATGTGTGTAATACGCAAACGTGTGTTCGTAATGCAACTATTACTCATGCGTTCGCAGAGAGACGAGTATAGAGAAAGCAGCGAGTGACGTGATTTCCCCGCGCGCGATCGCGAAATCTCTCTCCTCCTCCCCCTCTTCCCCCGTTCCACGAGCCATTACCGCGCCCGCTCGTGTTCCTAATTAATCAGGGGGTCCCGCGACTACTTTTGTGCCCCAGCCGGCACAAAGACAAAGGGGCCGCGGCGCGGCGCCATTAATCTCCCCGGTATCGTTATCGGCGATCGCGAATTTGCGGCCGCCGCCGCCGCCGCCGCTGCGAAGGGATGTAACGGATCCGATTCCGTGCGGCGCGGCGTGCTCTTCGCGGGCGTAGCTTTGTAAATTACTTCGCCGACCGTGTAATTCGATGCGGCGAGAATCGAGAAGGGAAGAGAGAGGGAGAGACAGGCCGGCATATATCGGCGCGGGAGGTAGAGGGACACACCACAACCCAGCGTGGGTGTGCATATATGACGTCGGCCATGTTGGAGAGACACAGCGGGAATCCGCGCCGCGCCCACAGCTGGGCTCCGGGTTGCGATCAAGAGAGTTTACCTCTCGCTCGGCCCACGTTTTATTCGGCGCAGCGCCGCGCCGCGATGCGCACGATGCAGCGCGGCTCGCTCGCTCCGATATCGACGCCCTCGATTTCTATTCGATTCACACGACCGCGGGCCGGACTCGGACCCAAAGAAAAGAATCGCGACCGCCCGATCGAGAACCGATCTCCAATGAGACCGACCGGCTATTGTGATATATACCCCCTTCACCCCCCCCCCCCGCACTCCCCCCGTATTGTGAACGAGAAACTGTTATAAAAGATTACAAAGTCGGGATCGTGATATAATATTTGTCACGCGCATTAAAAAATTCGGAAATCACTTGGGTATCGCGTGATTATGTAATTTCTAAGAATAGAGCGTGTTGCCTCATCGTACACGATTGATATTCTGAAATGTCGACATATATATGTATATAGACGGATAAGCCGGAGTCGGATCGGAGAAACATAGTGAGATCGAGCCGTCGCAGAAAACGATCACGCAGAAGCGAAAGATATATCTGAAGATCAGTAATTACACGGGGGTAGGCTAGTAATGATCGATCACCGTTTATCTACTATCGCGGCCTGTCTCTCCGATCGAATCGCGGCGGTGTCGCCGATCATCGCGGCAAAGCGGTTTCGATACTCTTCGGAGGACAATCGCAATCACAATCTTTGCGTATTTTATCGAGGAAAAAAGCGCGTTGTTTCTTTCGCAGAATCGTAACAGGTGCAAAGATTTTCCCGCGTTTATTCCGCGATTCTCGCCGATAAGACGACGAATCTTCGCTCGCGGCTATCCGCGGATCTGAGTTAATTACAGCTGAACATCGACACGTTCGATCGCGCGCGGCAATATATAATTGTAGTTCGCGCAGCGCGTTACGCAAAAACTTAACCAAAGACTTCTTTGCGCCGAGATCGCGGCGAAGAAGTAGAGCTTGACGAACGTTTTCACGTTGACCGTGTATAGATATACATTTGCAAAAGTATCACGACAATTAAAACCGAACTTAATTGTCAAAACAAAGATAATTAAAGTTCGTTCGTGGAAACTTAATTCGTTCTGTGTGAGCTGAAACCGGCCGGCCAATTGCCGCGCACTAACGGCGATATCGCAAAAAAGCGGTAAGCCGTCAAATTGGCATAATGAGAAACACAATGGTCTGTATTTGCGGAGGCGGCTTTCTTTGCGGGTGCGCTTTCTTTGTCAAACAAACCCAATGTCGCCGAAACGTGACAGTGCGGCTTTCTAGAGTTCGCCATGCGAGCTGCTTGGCGAACTTGTCCCGATTCACGCTTGTTTCTCGACTGCGAAAAATTGTTAATAAGCGGCTACTATATTGACGTCAATATACATTTTGTTCGTCTCACTTGTCTCAATTGTTTGTTCAAACTGTGCGCCAAAACAAATAATAATAATAATAATAATAATAATAATAATAATAATAATAATAATAATAATAATAGAAATTATCATAATTTTTTTCTTTAAGAAAACAATTCAAGTTGCAAATATTCAGCTTTTAAATATTTCTACAAATCGACACACAAATTTTGTAAAAAAAAAAAAAGAAGTAGAAAAAACACAAAGAGACTGGAAAAGTCGATAATTAAGTTAATAGTGTTTGTACGTGAGTTTGTGAATACATATCCGCTTTGAAAGAGATCCCGTTGGAAACATAAAAAAATCTCAACTTTTTCGGGATAATCTTGTACTAAGATCACACATTACAACAATTTCAGCATTCTTCTATTGATTGATACACAATAATTCTAATCCAATGACATGGAAATCTTTCTGACTATGGATGACAAATAGACT